AGCCCAGCAAATCTGGGAAAGGGAGGGGGTGGAAGAAAATGAGAGTCCTGGCATCCACCTTCATCTACCTCTTTTATTTCTTTTTTAATACTTTATTGTGTTTCAAGTTAAAGTTCACATAGCAAATTAGATTCCCATTCAACAATTCATACAGATTTTTCCATGACATTGGTTACAGTCCTCACAGTGTGTTAGCAGCACTCTCACCATTTACTTCTTTTACTTCTAACAACAATACAGACAGAATATGTCATTTTTTCTGAAACGTATTTTAATAAATGATTCTTTCATAGGATTACAATATTTACTACATTAATATGATTAACATGGACTGGCAAAAGTGCTAATTTTACTTCTCATTGCATATGGCCAAACCTGCATTCCATAAATAGAGAAATGAAGTAAATTACCTGTGTATGCAATGAAAGTGGCTTTGGGCATTATCCCCCCAAGTGGGGAAAAAGATCATTGAAGCTATTGTGATCCTGTAGGAGAAATGAGGTTGCGTATTTACTAATGAAACTTGCAGTCATTGTCTTATTCATTATTGCCTCTGAAAGGAAACACAGAATTAGATAGTATAATTAAAATTCACTAAGAACAAATAAGCCCCAAGCACTAAATAATTAGATGGATAAATGACTTTGGATTTATAATTTCACTTTCAAGAACCACCTATACATACACTATACAACTGTACAATCAGCTATATATGATCTCCAAAGGCAAGCCGTGCACTGTAGAATTCAATTTCACTCTCTTAAATAGAAAAGTGCTTCATGACTAACTTTTCCATATACTAAAACATAAACATAACTGAGGTTGCATAAACTACCGAAACCAATTTTCTTCAGAGACTTTGAACATTAGCAAGATATCAAGTATGACAAAAAATAATTACCACATAAATTGATAGCTAAATTACAATGTGGTAGCATTCTAAAATGTAGAATTCTAACATAAATGAAAATAATTTCCTTTGCACATGAAAATAAGTTGCAAAATTTACAGATATAGTAAACTCATTCAGTAATAATATAAGAAATATATTTTGTTTCGCATAGTTATCTCAATAGAATTTGTTTATTGGTTGTATTATTATATGATAGGCACTGTGCTAGTTGCTGGGTCTAGAAATCATGAAGATACGTTCCGATCCCTAAGAGCTTCCACTTAAATTAGGAAGATAGACATGTAAAGGAATATTTACACTACAGTGTGATACTCTACTAGCAGAGAACTGTACTTTGAGTTATTCCAGCAATCTTGTTACCCTTGAGACAACAGCATAATTTGTTAAGCTAGTTGAACCCTTATGGTTGGAGGTGTCATCAAAGTTAATGAAATAAACAAAGCTACCTGACCCATATGATTATTCAATTATGGCCTTGTTTTATGAAGACATCATGCTAAATCTAACTGGACTAATGGCACAGACCAAGGGCTGGAAATTATT